AGGGTCACCCATTTTGAATAATATTGCATGAGTTCCTTGTTTTTCAATGCAGCATAGTATTCCATTGTGCGAATATACCACAGCTTCTCTACCCAGGAGGCTAGGATTTTGACGCTCCGCCTCACATACTTTGGGCACAGGAGAGATCGGTCCTTGGAGGAAGGACATCATGCTCAGAAGGGTGAATGGACAGTGCAGGAGAGGAAGACCCCAGCTGAGATGAATTGATCCAGTAACTAGGACAATGGAAGTTGGTGTGTCAGAGTTAGTGAGACTGGGTCAGGACAGGAAACAGTTCAGAGCTGCTGTACATAGGGTCACTATACATCGCAGGCAACTCAATGAGTGGCACATAATAACAATAACACACTATGACAGGTTTGGAAGCAGGAGTGGCATCCACTTCCTACACAACATGCCTCCAGAAACTCTATGATAAACCTTGATAAATGTTGATAGTTGTAGATGGGCTTCAGGCCTTTTGTTCATAGGGTTGCTATGAGTCGTGCTCCACTTGAAGGCAATAAACAACAACAACAACAACAACTACCTTTCCTTGCACAGTGTCCTTATCCAAGAACAGGCCTCTTCTGACAACATGCCCAGAGCGTGAGACGAAGTTTCCCTGTCATTGCCTCTTAAGAGCACACTAGTTACACTTCCTCCCAGGCGGATTTACTTGTTCCTTTGGCAGTCAGTGGGCTGTGCACTACTCTTCTCCAACACCACAACTCCAAAATATCAATTCTTCAATTGTTCTTATTCATCATTCAGCTTTCAGATGCATAGGAAGTAACTGGGGGCAAAAAAAAGACTATGGCTTGATCAGGTGCACTGTGGTCTTTAAACTGAGACAGTTGCCTGTTAATACTGTAAAGACATCCTTGATAGAAGATTTCTCCAGTGCAACTTATCTTTAGCTTTCTTGACTTCTGCTATCATGGGTGGTGTTGACTTTTGATCCAAGTAAAATGAAATCATTGACAGCTTCGATCTTTTCTCCGTGGCCAGGCACTGAGGAGTTTTGTTTTCTTGATGTTACCATATACTCCGCGTTGAAGGTTGTAATATTTCCTCTTCTGAAGAAAGTGCTGGCAGAGTGAGGTCTTCCAAATCAGTGTCCTCCCTGAAAGCCACGGGAGGGCTGGGAAAGCCGTCCAAGTCAGCTTTTCAGAACTCTGCAGATTACAGAAAGTCTTGCAATAATCTGTGGACTGTTTATTCCACAAAAACAGCAGAATCTATGTAAGAACCGTGGACTTTGTGGCATTTTGACCTGCTCTGATTCCATCTCCCTCTTCTCATCTCCATGGAAACCATAGGAGACGGCCACCCCACAACTCTGAGAGCTGTGAGCACCAGCAGCCTAGCGGCAACTACACAGAGTGGCTGAGGTGCATCCCACCAGCCCTGGCAGAGCACCGTCCATGTGTGATCTGTGTGGCCACTTGCTCTGAGCCTCAGTTCTCAGGCCTTGTCTTTCCGTGACCTGGCTCAGCGCTCTCTCTGTGTGTGAATAGTTTTGTCCACACCACTGAAATAAATTGATGGTGGTTATCTAACTGTTACAAACAAATTTGTTTTAGAGAGGGTACCCAATTTCTCCTGGGAGGCTAGGATTTTGAAGCTGCATCTTACATACTTTGAGCATCTGGCCAGGAGGGACCATTCCTTGGAAAAGGACATCATACTTGGAAGGGTGAAGGGACAGCACAAGAGAGGAAAACCCCAAATAAGATGGACTGATACAGTGACTAGTGTCATGGGCATAGGTGTGTCGAAGTCAGACACTGGCTCCGGACAGGGCAGGCTTCAGACCTATTGTACATAAGGCCTCTATGAATTGCAGGCAACTCAATGGCACATAACAACAACAATATATAACTATTGAGTCCCTGGATGGCACACGTGGTTAAGAACTTGACTCCTAGACACTAGTTTGATGGTTAGAACCCACCCAGAGGCACTTTGAAAGGCAGTCTGTTTTCCAGAAAGTCCTAGACTTGTAAATTCTGTGGAGTGATTATGCTCTGTACATGAATTGGAATTGACCACAGAGGTTAAGGTGCCTCCGACCCAAGACATGGTCTAGTCAGCTGCTTCATATGCATGTGGAAGTGGGACAAGGACCAAGGAAGACTGATAATGCTTTGTT